GAAACTTTTTTCCAAGTCCTCATCCACGTTCGCAACTTTTTTCGTATCTTCCATTCAGTTTTTCCTGCTGCCCGTTTCTGGATTTGTAGTTGTTTTGTTTTCAAAATCTGCGTTTTTTGGGTTTCTCTGTTTCTCTACTTGGGTTGTTATAGGAGTTGGCCAGAACTCAAGGCCAGCAAGCTCATTTCTCTTTAGGTTTGAATAAGCTGTCCTTTCTGGAACTATATGACTTATGATGATGGCACTTGCTACATTAGTCTGTATCAGGGTTATTGGCGGATCTGATGTCCCATGGCAGATGGCTGTTGTAAATACTGAACTGACATCAACGTCAACAGGAATGGTATATAGGGGAAGTGATCATTCTAATCAATGCATTATTGGAATGAGTATTTTTTTTTGATCTTCCTACAGCTTTTAATTCTCATTAGCCTAGATCCCAATTTTAAGAATTGATTCATGCCCCAAAAATCATCTTTTCCTCATGCTTCGTGCATGCAAGCACGTATATGTATTTCCTCTATTGTTGGGAAGAATGAAGACACTTTTCTGAGATAACAAGGTGTAGAGCTGGATGAACACAGCAGGCCAAGCAGCATCAGAGGAGCAGGAAGGCTGACGTTTCGGGCCTAGACCTTCAGAAATGGGGGAGGGGAAGGGGGTTCTGAAATAAATAGGGAGAGAGGGGGAGACAGATAAAAGATGGATAAAGGAGAAGATAGGTGGCGAGGAGACACAGGTCAAAGAGGCGGGGATGGAGCCAGTAAAGGTGAGTCTAGGTGGGGAGTCAGGGAGGGGATAAGTCAGTCCAGGGAGGACGGACAGGTCAAGGGGGCGGGATGAGGTTAGTAGGTAGGAGATGGGGGTGGGGCTTGAGGTGGGAGGAAGGACAGGTTAGGGAGGCGGGGGCGAGCTGGACTGGTTTTGGGATGCGGTAAGGGGAGGGGAGATTTTGAACTCCAACCTCTCCCCCACAGAACGTGCAGCCCTCCGCTCCGATCCCAACCTCACCATAAAACCCGCGGACAAGGGAGGCGCAGTTATAGTATGGCGCACTGACCTCTACATCGCCAAGGCCAGGTGCCAACTCTCTGACACCACCTCCTACCACCCCCTTGATCATGACCCCACCCCCGACCACCAAACCATCCACAACCTCATCACCTCAGGTGACCTTCCACCCACAGCCTCCAACCTCATTGTTCCCCAACCCCGCACCGCCTGCTTCTATCTTCTTCCCAAAATCCACAAACCTGACTGCCCTGGTCGACCCATTGTCTCTGCCTGCTCCTGCCCCACTGAACTTATCTCCACCTATCTCGACTCCATTTTCTCCCCCTTGGTCCAGAAACTCCCTTCCTACGTCCGTGACACCACCCACGCCCTCCACCTCCTCCAGAACTTGCAATTCCCCGGTCCCCAACACCTCATCTTTACCATGGATGTCCAGTCCCTATACACCTGCATTCCCCATACAGACGGCCTAAAGGCCCTCCGCTTCTTCCTGTCCCGCAGGCCCGACCAGTCCCCCTCCAAGGACACCCTCTTCAGCTAAGCGGATCTCGTCCTCCCCCTCAACAACTTCTCTTTCAATTCCTCCCACTTCCTGCAGACAAAGGGGGTGGCCATGGGTACCCGCAAGGGCCCAAGCTATGCCTGCCTCTTTATAGGTTACGTGGAACAATCCCTCTTCCGTAGCTACACTGGCCCAAAACCCCACCTCTTCCTCAGTTACATTGATGACTGTATCGGCGCTGCCTCGTGCTCCCACGAGGAGCTCGAACAGTTCATCCATTTCACCAACACCTTCCACCCTAACCTTAAGTTCACCTGGACCATCTCCAATACCTCTCTCTCTGTCTCCATCTCTGGCAACCACCTAGAAACCGATATCCATTTCAAGCCCACCGACTCCCACAGCTACCTAGAATACACCTCCTCCCACCCACCTTCCTGCAAAAATGCCATCCCCTATTCCCAATTCCTTCGTCTCTGCTGCATCTGCTCCCAGGATGAGGTATTCCAGTCCCGTACATCTCAGATGTCCTCATTTTCAAGGACCGCAACTCCTCCACACCCCCCCCACCCCCGAAAATGGTCGAGAACGCCCTCGATCGTGTCTCCCACATCTCCCACAACTCATCCTTCACACCCCCCTCCCTGCAATAACAACCAAAACAGAATCCCCCTCATCCTCACATACCACCCCACCAACCTCTGGATCCAATGCATCATCCTCTGACACTTCCGCCATCTGCAATCCGACCCCACCACCAAAAACACTTTTTCACTCCCCACCCTTATCTGCTTTCCGGAGGGACCACTCTCTCTAGGACTCCCTTGTCCACACCACACTCCCCTCCAGCCCCACCACACCCGGCACTTTTCCCTGCAACCGCAGGAAGCGCTACACCTGCCCCTACGCCTCACCCCCATCCCAGGCCCCAAGAAGACTTTCCACATCAAGCAGATGTTCACCTGCACATCTGCTAATGTGGTATACTGCATCTGCTGTTCCCGTTGTGGCCCCCTGTACATCGGGGAAACCAAGCAGAGGCTTGGGGACCGCTTTGCAGAACACCTACACTCGGTTCGCACTAAACAACTGCACCTCCCAGTCGCAAACCATTTCAACTCCCCCTCCCATTCCTCAGACGACATGTCCATCCTGGGCCTCCTGCAGCGCCACAACGATGCTACCCAAAGGTTGCAGGAACAGCAACTCTTATTCTGCTTGGGAATCCTGCAGCCCAATGATATCAATGTGGACTTCACAAGCTTCAAAATCTCCCCTCCCCCTACCGCATCCCAAAACCAGCCCAGCTCGTCCCTTCCTCCCACCCCCAGCCCCATCTCCTACCTACTAACCTCATCCCGCCCCCTTGACCTGTCCGTCCTCCCTGGACTGACCTATCTCATCCCTACCTCCCCACCTACACTCACCTTTACTGGCTCCATCCCTGCCTCTTTGACCTGTCTGTCTCCTCTCCACCTATCTTTTCCTCTATCCATCTTCTGTCCGCCTCATCCTCTCTCCCTATTTATTTCAGAACCCACTTTCCCACCCCATTTCTGAAGAAGGGTCTAGGCCCGAAACGTCAGCCTTCCTGCTCCTCTGATGCTGCTTGGCCTGCTGTGTTCATCCAGCTCTACACCTTGTTATCTCAGATTCTCCAGCATCTGCAGTTCCTACTATTTCTGAAGACACTTTTCTGTTTGCTTACCATTGCATTTTGGAAATGGAATTCCTAATGGTGGCTTCCCAAATATGACAAGATTCCTTTGTGCAAATTGACTTCTATCTTGCATGTCATTCAAATAGCTCTTTTAATGGAACTCACCTGTGTAGGCCTGTTAAATTTGCATCCACTCCTGAAGTGGATTCGTTGAAACAGCCCTGAAATGATGTTTCAGTCATAGCCGGAATCCTTAATTCAAGATGTTGGGGTTTAGTGAAAGTATAATGTTCAGACATTATTAATTAATGTATATTTAACGGGTGTGTATGTTTTTCCTTTGATTATATAATTGCCCTTCCTTGAAATGGGTATAATGGTCTGGTTTAATTTGGATAGATGTAAATTTACCCACCTTAATAGTATCCATACCAACATTTAACTTTAATAGAATGGCTCAGTTGTTGCAGCACAGTCTGATCATGTGTGCAAAGTACGGGAGGTAAATTAGTTGCAAGAGTTGGGGCAGTTGTGATCTAGCAGTTTTCCTTAAAAATATGGTGTCCTCCTTTTATAGATCCAGACTGCAACTCTGCATTTTTTGGGAGCTTAGATTGGTGACAATTTTTATACAAGCCCTCAACTTGGATTGGAAATAACCAAATTTAAGAATATCATTTGCTCATTCGCTTGTCTTTACTTGAGTTTTGTTCAACTAGGTTTTTAAAATAAACTTGACTCCTCCACCAGAGCATAAATTCAATATCAGACTTCGAAAATCCTGAGTGATGCAAACAGCTTTTTAATTTGTCATGAAAATCCTCTGATACAGAAAATTGCCTTGTCCTATCAAGAGTCATTTAGTTCTTTATTAATTTAGAATCAACTTATAAACTCTGGGTTTAAGAAACAGGTGGTAGAGGGGAGAAACTAACTATATACTCTCTGTACTTGTTTCAATTCCTGATGCGTCTGTTTTGATATACATATACCGTGTATATAATTTCACTATTCTCTGCGGCACTGACGCCTGGTTGTCTGACTGGTCTTAGTTTTCTTTGTACACTGTTTTATAAATGCGTCCTTGCCAGAGACTGAAACCTGTGGTCACTGATGTGTTGCTGGTGTTTCGCGGCTGTGAGCTGTTGGTTTGTGATTTGACTTTTTTTGGTCTTCCCAGTCACTTGTGCGCTGGCGGTGGCTTCTCTCCGTGCCTCAAGGTACAGACGGAGTAATGGCACTTTCGTAGCCCTGGAAATGTTGCCATTACTCCTGGTGCGTGCTGTCAGGTGGCTGCGTTGCGATAAATTTCCATACTTGCTTCATGTATACCAGACACCTTGTGGAATCCTGCTTAACCTAGTGGACATAACACAGGGCTTGTCCAGCAAAAAAAAAATCATTTTGTAGGTCTTTGTTGCCTAACCAAGTCTATGCCACATAATTTCTTTGAACCCAAGAAACTTGGAAAGCCCATTATCAATGGCCCTTTGTTAAATGTCTGACCACTCATTCTGAAACAAAAACCTTTTTTGCCATTGCAAATATTGTTTGAAGTTACTAAAGCCAGAGTTTTTGAAGGATAACAATCAAATTCGTTCTCCTTCCTCAGTGAATTTTTGAAAGAGTAGGATAGCTCCCATGAATTAGTTAGAAATGATTGGCGAGTAAAATAAAGATCACCTCCCATTACCCATTTGATAAATAAAAATGAAATTTGATTCTGATTTGAGCAAAATAACTAACACACTACACTACCTATCACTTTTATTAAATCAAAAAAAATTAAGTATTTTGGTGCATTCAAATACCAAATTCTATGATGTTGAATTTTTTTCTGTAACCTGCCTCATTACTTTATACGTCAACAAGCACATGCATGCAGTTGCAACCATGCATGGATCAGATCTTTATTGAGATACGATACCACATGATCCACTGTGTTTCCGGTCATTGTTGCAACTTCATACCTTTCAATCCGGAATGTGTTCCAATGCATCACTGATTCCAGAACAAGTAAAACATCTCATGGTTCATTCATGTATATCTTATTCTACCTTTGATTTCTAGACTTATTGTCTACTACCAAATCAACACCTCAAACATTTGAGAGTAACTTTACCACCGTGGAGCCAAAGGAATCCCATCTCAGTCACTTGATTCCAGTGCCATGTTAAAACCGATGTTATATTAGCATGAATGCAAATAATTACATTAACACACTACTGCTCATTACAGATACAGCTTGAAATTTCTCCCGTTTCTTCAGCCCCTTGTCAAAGGTGACATCCTTATCTTGGGTCCACTTAAATAATGTGTCTCACTATTTAACTTAATCTTTGCTAATGCCATAATGTCCAGGATATCATAGTACATTAGTAATATGGGCCCTCAATCCTGCAGTATATGTTTACAGCCCTTTTACGTTACCTTAAAATGCTAGACTATAATCTCATGATCAAAAATATTTTGATCCCGAGTTTTGTACTTGTAAATTCAGTGCTCATTTTTCCTATATCTGTTTGGATAGTTTAGTAGAATTGTTGCTCAAAACATGCCCTATACTTGGATGTGTTTGATCGATCCATTCCATTCCTTTTTTACCCTGGTAGAGTGGTAGTGCATACTGATGCAAACTGTATTAGGAACTTTTCAAAGCAGTAGCTATACATAGCATCGGACTAGTTTTTCCTTTGGTCATTGTTTAAATTTGAGGTCATTTTTAGTATAGTGGCAACCAGGTACCAAGTCTTGATTTGGTCTCACTGCAAAGTCCTTGCTCTGTATCTCAATCTTTACATCCTGCGAATAAAACACATTTTTGTTCAGGTCAATAAAACCTCGAGGAAAAAAAAATTGAACAGGATTTCACAATCAGTTGTTGGTTTACGTCTTCTCATTGGTCTATGAGAGTGAACCACTGGAACTTGGGGACAAGATGAACATGTACCTTACACAATCTGTCCACTATAGTTGCAGTATTTCATGACAAGCCTCAAAGTGTTAACCAACCATGTAATAACATTTTTTTTGCCATTGAATGTAATGATTTAGAGACTAACTCCATGAACAATTACATCGTTGAAGTTTATCTATGAGCTGACAAAGTCAAGCCAACTGGTGCTAGCAGTTTGCAGTTGGTTTTGTATTAATCTCTAATGGGTTGTCTTCCTTTTTTTTAACCTTCCCTTTCATCTCTGTGATCTGAATATCTGACTGAGGCAGATGACGAGCCAGTTTCTGGACCAATGTGAGTATAACATTTAACAAGTTACTTAAATATGGTACTCTTTTTAAAAAGTGACATTGATTTCAAGTGCCAGCTGCAATGAGTACACTCGGATCAGGTTTAGTGTGGGTAACGTGCTGAGTAAACCTTCCTCCATCATGCCTCATCAGTGCACCTCAATTTTCAGCAGTGAGGATGCCAGTTCACTGCCAGTTTTATTAGGGGCAGTTTTATTGTGACCATTAAGCACCTAATTGAGATTTCTCGCCGTTCTTGTCTAAAGAATGGTGAGTGGTTCACTTCAACGCACCCTGAGTCGGAATTCTATCCAGACTGCCTGGCCAAGATTATGCTAATATTGTGCTTTTATCACTTTTCTTGCTTTCTGTTGTTTTGTTGCACGTTTCCATGTGTGGCCAGTTTTTAAAAAAAGTTTTGACATTGTCATATGTTAATTAATTCTAGTAAAGGGTAAAGTCACCATGGTCCTCAGTACAATAGGGCTGCTCTTTCATTAGTTAGAGACATCACTGGTGGCAGTTTAACCTGAGAGTCGTCATACCCTTTTGAGGGAAAGGGTTGAGAAGGAGAGACCTGCACATTAAGCTGAGCCTGTGCAGGTGTTGAACCCACACTGTTGGCATCACCCTCTATAGCAAACCAGCCAACCAAAGTAACTGACCAACACCCTCACCCCCAACAATGACGACGAGAAATTGCTAAAAATGCCTGGCTAGCTCATTCTCAAGTTAATTATATTTAAATTCCCCAACCCCTTTGATGCAAGGTATGAGATGCAGATACCAATTAACTTGCACACTGGGGACTCATTCAGGAGTTAGTAAGCCTGTCATCTTGACTGTTTATGCTGGCCTCAAAGCTTGATCAATATTCTCATGATCCCCAACATCGTATTTTTATAGAATTTATAATAGAACAAACATGGATACCATACTTCTTAAGTTTTGAATTTGCTGCTATTGAAACAGTTATTATTGAGAATTAAAATTTGATGTTATAGTTTGTCATGCGCATCTTTGTCTAAGCTCTTTCAATCTCCGTTTTTCTGCAGCATGCTTTAGATGATGGCTTTATGGTACTCTCTGGCTCAATATTGCATTAGTCTATAAGAGGGTTTCTGTTAATGTCTTCGGCCTTGTACATTTGTAGGATGTTCTTTTTCTAGAAAATTGCTGAACGTCAAATCAGTAAATAGACAAATAAATGTTTCTTACTAGAATTGTGTTCTTTTATGTCTTAAACAATAAAAGCACATTCCAAGCCTGGTCTGTCTCCACTCTGTACCTACATAGCCCTTACATATGCTGAAAAATTAACTGTTTGTTTTCCCTGTTCTCAGTAGCTCATCACCAAAACCTGACAACGCACTTGAAGCACTGCTGTAGTCTAGCTGCTTCGTCACTGTAACTCTTTGTTTCTTATTGGTCACTCCAGTCAGCCTCCATATTTTGCACGAAATTTGTTGGAAAGCAGTTGTGATCACAGTATATTGGGAGAGTTGTTGAAATAGCTTTATATTGTTACAAAGAATCTAATGGTTAATGTTATTAAAAGTGGGTTCTTGAATCCATTTTGAAAAACCCATAGGCTAGATCTTAAACTGCTTTGATAAGCTGTGAGTGAGGCGAGGCATTGAACTGATGATGGAACTAAGTGGATGGAAGCATTGGAGGACCCGTTTTCGCTGGGGTGCAGCTATCTGAGCAACAATGCCATTAGGACAGATTGCCCACTTCAGTTATAGGGAAAACCTCCTGAGGTGGAGACAGTAGTAAATCTTGTACTGTTTATTATCATAAACTGTCCAGTTCAAAGTTTAATAATTCCTAATTGTCCATCACCTGAAATTATTAGATGTAAAAAGTTTGAATTTAGGTTGCTAGTTTTAAATGACCTTTTACTAACTTGTATAGTATAAAAGATATTGTTATCCACAACACTCATGAAAGAGGTGAAGCTGCTAATCGAGAATACTGATTGATGGGAAGCTACTTTAGCCTTGACAAGAGTCTTTTGAGAGGTTAATGGGAGAGGAGAAGCGGCTGGGCATCTGTAGGTCAAAGCGTAGCAGGGTGGAAGTGACCATAGTCCCACCATAGGCTGCTGTCTTGGCAGAGAGATGACCAGTGTGAGTTGAACCTGTGTGTTTCCACACCTCCGGTAGTAGGTGAGGTTGAGAAGGCAAGACCTTCACAGTGACTTCAATTTGTTTGGGAATTGAACCCACCCCGCTGCCATCTCACTGCATTGCAAACCAGCAGTCCAGCCAGCAGAGCTAACTGGCTCCTCGCGGTAAAGGAAGTCAGGCTGACCCCACAATCTTCAGTTCCGCTTCTTAAAAAGAAACTCCAGCTGTCAATTTCACCAACAGTTGCTTCAAGTGCTATGTCTTTAATCATCAAGTAATCAATATTCAAAACTAATTTTTAAATTTTGTCACAAAACCTGAACCAATTTCAGATTTGCAAGTTGTTATTTGTTTTAAGAACGCATTACCTGGACACTGCAAGTGACTGGCCACCTTTTTTTATAAAACAAAATTTCACTATCAGAAATTTGATTACTAGTGTCGGGTAACACTAAGTTTGTTGCATCCAGTAATTTATTGTAACTCTGACCTCCTGATGTGTTGAAGAGCAGTTGAATGACTTGTCCAAATCCAAGCATCCAATAACAACAAATTGTCTTTGCTTCATCTCAATTCCCAACAGTACTTTTGGCTGATTTTTTTTTTTTTTTTTTTTTGTTCCCTCAAAATGCACAAAAACATTTTGAGTTTTGAACAGTGGACTGAAAGATCTGAAAATAATCAAGTCTTTGAATTTAAAAATAACTTTTTAAATATCATTTATGGATGTGAGCATCACTAACTACACTTATCATTTATTGTCCATTCCTAATTGTTCAGAGGGCTATAGTCAACCATGTTGCTGTGGGTCTTGAGTGTCATGTAGGCCAGACCAGGTAAGGATGGCAGTTGCCAGACATTACTGAACCATATTGTTTACTGTCATAAAAAACAATGGCTAGATGATTGCCATTAGGCCAGCTTTTGTTAATTTTAGATTTTTAATTAATTAAAATCTCATCACCCCAGAACATGATGCTGTGGTTCTGGATTAGTAACCCAGTGACATTACTGCTATGAAGCCACCTCCCCACATTGTATCATCTCCCATCAAACATTAAGCTTGCTAAATATGATTAGTACAGTAAATAGCTGTTAACTTTTTAATGTAATTCCAAACCAGGAAAACTAATTCGACAAACAATCATAAAGACAAGAACTTGCGTCAGAGAAACACCAACTAATCCTTGGTTATCAGGTATGTTCCATTTGTCATGTGAATTTTTCTTTGATCTTGTATCTAACATTATTGCATGTTTGTTGGGCTTAATATCTCAGAGAGCAAACTGCACACTTCATTTTTTTTAAAGTGACCGGAAAGCAAAGATAAACTTTCTGCTGCCCAGTCCCACCAATTTGCAAGTGCTAAGAAAAAAGAGAAAATGGTTAAATGCCAGCCATTCTCTTGTTTTGTTTTAAACTTGCTGGAACTATTGCAGCTTGTTACATGAATATAAAACACATATAACTATGGATACTGGAGATCTGAAATGTACACACAGAAATTACTAGAGAAACTCTGGTCTGGCAGCGTCTGAAAAGAGAGTTCATGTTCCTAGAAAGGTCACTAGACTCAGTGTGTTGTTTCATCACAGATGCTGCTAGACCTGCTGAGTTTCTTTAGCAATTTCTGTAGCTTACTACGTGACTGTTTTAAATCTTCACATTCCACTGTGTCGAACTGTTTTGACTGGTGAGACGACTATGGGAGCACCTGGAAAATGAAAGAAGGGACAAACGCATTTTTCAGAATTCCTGAATTGAAAGCATGGAATGAAAACAGGTTCTTAGTTGAAAAGTGACAGTATGCGATTTTCACAAGCTGCGGATTTCTCTCAATTCTAATTACATCATGACATCCAAGACTTCAGAATTTGGTCGATTTTCATAATTTTACTGTAGCCGCTTGATTTCCATGGATAGCGTTTTGTTTGCATCACAGAATTACATCATTGTGAATTTTTAAAGCTGTTATTAAGTTGGACTTAGTGATCAAGTTACTTAAGGGCAAACAATTTTGATGACTGGTTGCTGTGTGTGCTTCACCATGAGAACTGTTTGCCAGTCTGTGGTCGGTCTGTTGAATTCTCATTTGCAGTAGTTATTCTTCGAACAACTAACTGATTTCTCTCTGCAAGATATGAACGGGCTGCATCATGATCCTTCCTGAATACCTTGTGTCTAATTTCTGTGAGCCTCTCTTATTCCCCCTTTGACAGAGGCTTGACCCAAACCATCAATTTAGTCAGTGACTGTAGGTTTTTCTGGTTTTGGGTCTCTTCAGTCAGTGATAAGTAAGAGTTTGTTGAATTAAAGGGAGTGAGATCACAACTGCCAGTTGTATCTGTGTACAATGGCACCAGTGGGTTGAGAACATTGAACTTATCGAAATAAGTGTAGGAGGCAACGTCTTGACTAAGCATCATTCTCTGCTATTTTTTGATCACTGAACGCAATGGAGCCCACTTTATTTTTTGATGCTCTAATATAAATGTGAATGCCCACATTTGTCACATTGCTGTCAGTACAGAATATTTAGAATGCTGTATTTGCCTCTTGTGGGGGGGGGGGGGGGTTTTCTGCCCTGCTGCTTAAATTTCTTTCTGAAATACAGTATTATTGATATTCATTGCTTCATGATAAAATGCAACATTAACAGAAGAACAGTTCTTGCAGTAGCACTAATCCCTGTTTGTACCTTATTTGGACAGTTAATTACTAAATCTGATTGTAATTCCTGCAGAAATCAACAGTCAAAATTGAACCATTAGGTGATCCATTTTTACGCCAATCCTAATCACCTGCCCTGGATGCTGCTCATTACAGTAGCATTTCCTGCATTAGTCCTTTCTGCCAGTTCTTAAATTTACAAATTCAATTATTAACTTAAGGTGTTTGTCATTGGTGTATCCCCAATACAATGCATTACAGACCAGTATTTTATGTATGAATTTTTAAATGTACATTTTTCTGTAAGCATCTTTACTTGTAAGTATTGATACTGATCAGACAAGGCTGTTATTGGCTTAAGGTCAGTCTTGTTCTGATGTGCTTGCTTATGCTGACAAATACCTTGAGTTTTTACAGATCTTAAACCAATAAGTTTTTGTGACTAAAGTCATTTCAGTTTGGTGAACGTTCAAAAGTGTAATTGATTTATTCATACATCTTCACAGAACTTTGAATTTCTGAAGATCATTATCAAATAGCATGGCTATCAGTCAAGGACTCTGGAGATTGTTGGTCTGAATGGATGGGTTTTGACCTTCCCACTGTCTAAGCAGGAATAAGATGGCTGTGCGAAGCATGTTTTGCCTTATTCAATCTCTTCTAAAGAATAAAGTATTAAAAAGATTGCTTTGCAAATTTATTTCTGATTATTTCAAATCGATAGGGTGTACTTTGAGTGCTTGATATGCTATTTATTGATGCTTGATTGTCTTCCCCCACCCTCCTCCACCCCTTCTTCTTCCTGCGTTTCTGTTTATGTGGATGCATGCAATGTTTATTATTTCTCGTGTGCTCATTCATACACTGTTCATCACGTGGCACTCCTAACTCCATGATTCCTTTTGTTCTGTCCTGGAACACTTGCTAAATAACTGCATCACTCATATGGTATTTGATTTGAATTTGTATATATTGCAAATGTTAGTGTCCAGCAAATCAGAAGCATATAAATAAATGATGTATTGCACTGACCTGGTAGAGGTTAAGGCTAAAGTATATATATCTCTTCCACTGCCATTTCATGAGCCCTATTCTTGATGTCACATTCTAGCACAGTCATTGCATGGTAGTTTTCTATGCAAGCTTGAAAAAGCAATTTATTATCTGTCTCCTTTTCTCCTTTCAAATTACTGTTCTGAAATCCGCCCTGTGTTTCGTTTGGACACTAATAAAACTTTAATGTTGTGACTTTCTTTCAAAAGTAATTTTGGGTGTGTAAATGCATGAGATTGCACATTTACCTGTGGTTATTATAATCATTAATATAACTCCATGTACAGTATGTTGACCCACTGATTTTTAAAAATAAACAATGACATTGAAAACTAGGTCATTTGCGTGAAATTTGTCAAGGGTTGAAATGAGTACATTGTATTTAAATGTGCGGTGCTGCCTTCGAGAAGAGATCAGACAGGGATCTTCAGGTTTTACATTGAATGCTTTTTGGTAACCAACCAGTACAGACACTGATATTTTGATAAACCGTAATGTCCCGAGTATCCAGAGTAACTAATGGCCTTGTCCTAAAGTGGCCACAATTGCCTGAAAACATTATTAAATATTTTCAGCCAATGCTAAAATTTAATCTCTTGATTTGATCCAACTTTAGTTTTTATTCATGACGCATTGAAGGAAAGAAATGCTGTGGTCAGTGTACTTTCCCTGTGTAATGTATTGATGTTCACATTTCTAACCTATCATACAATAGAGACTAGCTAATCTGAGCCATCTTTCCTTCTTACTCAGTTGGCAGCACTCGCTTCTGAAATAGAATGTTGTGCATTCACTCCCCACGTTTAGAGATTTGGCATAATTTGAAACTGCAGCTCTATTTGAGATGCTGTCCATCAAATGGTATGCCAAATCAAGCACACACACGTCCTCGGATGAATGTAAATGATCCCAAGGGACTATTTCAAAGGAGAGTAAGGGAATTCTCCCCACTGGTCTGGTCAATATTTATCCCTCCTCCAAGATCCAAAAAAAAAGCTGGTTACTTGTCTGATTCGTGTCTTAGTCTGTGAAAATCAGTTGACCTACTGATGTTTTAAAAATAAACAATGACATTCAAAACTAGGTTATTTGTGTGAAATTTATCAAGTGCTGAAATGAGGACATTGCATTTAAATGTGCTGTACTGCCTTTGAGAACAGATCAGAAAGGGATCTTCAGATATTGCATTGAATGCTGTTTGGTAGCTAGCCAGTTTTTTGGTATAACTATGGTGACTAGTGTGGCTCTCGCCTGTAAGGGCTGAAGGAAACCAGTAAGAGACTTTGTTCAATTTTGGAGTTCAAGGGCTCTACATTTCCTACCCAGAGATTGGGATATAAAGAAACAATCTTAGGGTATAGTAAACTGAGTTTTGTGATAATTACGTTCAAATGTAAACCAAAAAATGTAGAGTAACAAAAGTCAAATGTAAGGAACACTATATGGGACAGGAGGAGTATGAAGTAGGTCATACTCTCACACACTGGAATCAACAAAGTGAAAAAGACATCGGAGGAGAACTTAAAGTTGATTATTTCGAGAATATCTAGGCTTTAATCTTCTGTCTCCTAAGTTAGGAATTTAGACTAAGGAGCAAGGAAATTTGGTGAAAAAAAGTTTTTGTTAAAGGTTCAGGTGTTCATTTTTATTAAACAATTTTTCTTGTCTATTACAACAGTGGTGGGGGAGCTCTGACACCTGCAGTGCACATCCTATTCCATGTGGGATGTCTAGTCCATTTCTTGTGTCCTGAATAACCATACAACCTGGAAGTGTCATCAACTACAGCAGCTCAGTAGTATGAGAGAAATAGGCAGATAGTCCAGGAGTCCTTCAAATAAATTTCATTCTTCAATTAGTATTCACTTCTGAACATTGATATAAGCACTGATGACGCCTTCATTTTACTGATGATCAAGAGTGGATTGAGGGGGTCAGCAATTGACTTGGTTGGATTTTCCCTGCTTTGTGGACAGGAAATACTTGTGTCATTTTCCACATTGTCAGGTAGACGATGTCACAGTTTTAATGGAACAGCTTGGCTAGTGAGAGATACCATGATAGAATGGGGAAGGTTATGGGAGAGAAATGTTGTACCAGCACTAGTCTTGGGTGACATGACTCCTTTCATTCTCAAATCGTACTTCAGATGTTTTACCTCCATGTCCAAGATCCTCTGTCTTGCCTCGAGCTCCTAAATGATGTATTGTTCCCATGTCCACTACTAGTTGGAAACTCTCAGGCTAAACTGGCTGCTACTGCATGCTGTAGCTTTTAGGAATTACTAGGTTCAACAGCAAAATAGGTGGCTTGGAGCAATTCATTCCATGTTGCTTAAACCTTGAACCTTTATGGAAATGTAAACGTATTATGACAAACAATGATTGAGTTAGCTTGCAATAAAACAGTTGGCAGGAGTATTATTTATCAGAGTTTGGAAACTGGGCAATTGGAGAGTTAAGGGAAGAGAACTTTAATGTGGTGCTCTGAATGTAGGATTTCCAGGTTTCAGAATTTTGTTTGATAAAAATTAGCTGCATTTCCCTCTGACTACTCCCAGTGCACCTTAATTTGTGCACCCTGTTCTCTGACTTCCTTTCTTATTTAAATTGGCCTTCACAGATTCCTAGGCTGTACCTACTATAGTAGAAATTTCCACATCAGTCCTCCAAAACCAAAAAAGGCTTGGGCTAATTTACCTTAATCTGATGGGATTGTCCTGGTTGATTTGAGGGCCTGGATGTTTAAAAATGGCTGGCCATCACTGGTGATGAAATCTCATCCCATCCACAACTTGAATTGGATGCAGTTTAATGGCATAATGGGTTTTAATGTTTTGAGTTAAATGGAAATGAAATGTTAACTGAAACGCTCCATTCAAGAAAGGAGGCCAAGAACAGGAAAGTATTTTATTAAAAAGGTTAAAGCAGAATAATTAGAAAATCACGATAAAATCCGGCAGAGCCAAGGTAGTTTTGTGAAAGGGGAATAATGTTCAACTGATCAGCCAATTACCGTCCCGTGAGTCTACTCTCGGTCATCAGTAAAATGAAGGAAGATGTTATCAATAGTGCTATCAAGCAGCACCTGCTTGGCAATAACCTACTCACTAATGCCCAGTTTGGGTTCTGCTCTTAACATTTTTGACCAAATGTTGCATAAAGGTAACTAGCAAAATTGGAATCGGGGAAAATGTTATGCTGATTAGAGTCATATCTGGCACATCAGAGGATGGTTGTGATCATTGGATGTCAGTCATCTCAGGTCCTCTGGATAGTTAGTGCTGGGCATAGTTTACTATCTTCAGCTTCAATGTTGATCTCTCTGATCATAGGATCGGAAGTGGGGATGTTTGCTGATAATTACACAATGTACAGCACCGTTTACAACTCCTCAGATAATGAAGCAGTCCAAGTTCAGATGCAACAAGACCTGGACGGTATCCAGTCTTGGGTTGACGAATGGTAAGTATAATTAAGAGACAATCTAAAGCTGTCCCTTGACATTGAGTGGCATTACTGTCATTGAAACCCCCACTGTCAACATCCTGGGGGTTACCCTTGACTAAAAACTCAACTAGACTCACCATATAAATATAGTGGCTACAACAGGTCAGAGACTGGGAATACTTCAGTGAATAACTCACCCCTGAATTCCCCAAGGCTGTCCATCATCTACAATGCGTAAGTCAGGAGTGTTGTGGATTACTCCCCCTTTGGCTGGATAAGCACAGCGCCAGAAGCTTGATACCATCCATGATGTGTCTCCGTAATTAGCACCACATTCACATTCGTGCACGTACTCCACTACTGATGCTCAGTAGCAACATTATGTACTATCCACAAGGTGCACTGCAGAAATTCATCAAAAATGTTTAGGCAGCACCTTTCAAATCCAAAGTCAATTCCATCTAAAAGGATAAGGGCAGCAGATACGTGGGAGCACCCCTCCAAGATAGAGGCAACACAGTGTGGAGCTGGAGGAACACAGTAGGCAGCATCAGAGGAGCAGGAAAGTTGACATATGGGAAATAGAGAGGAGGGAAGGTAGGTGGGATGGTGATAGGGAGTGGAGGGGATTGATCAGTGTGATGGTTAGGTGGGAGAGAAGATTGACAAGTGTCAAGTCAAGGAGACGGGGAAGGCTTGGACATGGGATGAGGCTGGGGGGTGGGGAGATGTTAAAACTGGTGAATTCCATGTTTAGACCATCGGGCTGTAGGCTCCCGAGGCAGAATATGAGGTGTTACTCCTCCAGTTTGTAGGTGATGTCATTGTGACACTGGAGGAGGCCCAGGATGGACATGTCACCCAGGGAGTGGGAGCGGGAGTTAAAATGGTTGGCAACCGGAAGGTGTTGTCATTTGTCGCGTACAGAGCACATATGCTCTGTGAAACGATCTCCAAGTCTATGCTTGGTTTCACCGATGTAGAGGAGGCCACATCAGGAGCAGTGGATACAGTAGACTAAGTTGACAGATGTGCAGGTGAACCCCTGTCTGATGTGAAAAGTTTGTTTGGTGCCTTGAATGGACATGAAGGGGGAGGTGTAGGGGCAGGTGTAGCACTTCCTGCTGTTGCAGGGAAAGGTGCCGGGCGTGATGGGGTTAGTGGAGAGTGTGGAGCGATGAGGAAGTTGCAGAGAACGCCGTCCCTACGAAAGGCAGATAAGGGTAGGGAGGGAAATATCTCTTTGGTGGATATCAGCAGATAATGATACGCTGGATGTGGAGGTTGGTGGGGTGATATGTGAGGACAAGCGGGATTCTGTCTTTATTTTTGTTGGGGGGAGGCGGTGTCAGGGCAGAAGTGCGGAAAGTGCAAGAGATGTGGTTGAGGACATTTTCGATCACCGGAGGAGGCAAGTTACGGTCCTTGAAATAGGAGGACGTTTGGGATGTTCAGGAGTGGAATGCCTCATCTTGGGAGCAGATGTGGCGGAGGCGGAGGAATTGGGTGTATAGGATCGCATTCTTGCAGGAGGGTAGGTGAGAGGAGGTGTGGTCAAGGTAGCTGTGGGAGTCAGTGGGCTTGAAATAGACGTCAGTTTTGAGGCGGTCACCAGAGATGGAGAGGTCCAGGAAGGAGAGGGAGGTATCGGAGATGGTCCGGGTGAATTTGAGGTTGGGGTGAAAGGTGTTAGTAAATTTGATGAACTGCTCAAGCCCTGTATGGAAGCACCTCCAAGCCATTTACCATCTTGACTTGTTGTTCATTCGTTGTTGTTGGGTCAGAATCCTGTAATTCCCTCTGTAACGGCATTGTGGGTCTACCTGCACAACATGGACTGCAGTGGTTCAAGAAGGCAACTCAGCTTAGCCTTCTCAGGAGCA